CCAATTGCATAGGGTTTGGTGCTCAAATGTGTAATCTCAACATTTATGAGGAGGAAATAGGATCCAGAGTTAAAGGGAAGTCTCAGCCACAGCAGAATTCAAGGTCTGCCCAGGACACCTTTGACCGTTTCAAAGAATACAAATTAACAAAAACTGTATGTTGTTGGTGATATTTATTAAGCTGCCAATGTTATTGATTAAGCAGTGCTGTTTACTGTATGACAGAAGCCACAAGGCACAACAAAACCCACATTAAGAATTTATTAAGGGAATAGAGAGGGGGTGTGCATAGGCCTATGGAATGACTGTATAGGAAGAGAGATTGGTGGAACCCACTTTTATAGGTGTGTCCCCCCCCCCCATGCACATATGGGCTTACATAGCTATGCCACATATAGATTACGTGATCACGCTGCATGCAAATTACGTGATCACACAGCACACAGATTACATAGGATATAAGGCCCTGGGATGACTAAGCATTTTACCTGGCTACTAGACAGTGCATGTGTGGTCATGTAGCTAGGGGAGTGGCTAGGAATTCTAACAGTTGTTTTTTGCTCTTTCCATGGGCCCGCAATCCCAGCTCCCAAATAAATCACACATGGAGGCTTATTTTTAATTATGAATGCCCGGCCTTAGCTTGGCTTATTTCTTGCAAGCTTTCCTTAACTTAAATTACCTGTCTACCTTTTGCTTCTGGGTTTTTCCCATTCTCCTACTTCTGTAAATCCTACTCTTACTCCGTGGCTTGCTGTGTTCTTTTTTCCCAGGACGGGAGGTGGAGGGGTCCAATGCCCAGTCTTATGAATGCTAAGCAACACTTTTTTTTTTTTTTTTTTTGGTTTTTCGAGACAGGGTTTCTCTGTGTAGCTTTGCGCCTTTCCTGGAACTCACTTGGTAGCCCAGGCTGGCCTCGAACTCACAGAGATCCACCGGTCTCTGCCTCCCGAGTGCTGGGATTAAAGGTGTGTGCCACCACCGCCCGGCGCTAAGCAACACTTTTAAGCCACACCTTAGCCCTTGGTTTCTGGCAGCCTCATGCAGTTCAAGCTGGCCTTGAACATGGTATTCTACCTCTTGCCTGGGTTCCCAGAACTCTGGCAACAACACCCAGATTAACTTAATTCTTTGTTTTCACACAGAACAGAACTGGTGAGGGTGTCACCACAGAAACTATAATCCCAGGGGAAGTGCTGAGAAAGATTGTTTTAAAAAGGCCAGATCCAAAAATCTTAGTTCCAAAGACCCAAAACAACAATGGATCTGTGAGGTAAAATGTGCACTATATTTACAGCCAACTCAACATTTCCCCCCTCAGGCTCTGCAGTACCACAGAAATTCCAAGTGACATCCCCAAAAGCTAGGGAGGCTTTCGATCCTAGGGCTGTACCCTATCTTCAACTTGAACTTCTTGCCCCAAGACAGTCAAGGATAGGAAAACAGGTACTTATCTGTACCACGTAAGAATACCATTTTAGGCCAGATGGATCTCTGTGAATCCCAGGCCAGCCTGGTCTACAAAGCGAATTCCAGGATAGCTGGAGCTGTTCCACAGAGAAACCCATTCTTGAAAAGAAAAAAAGAAGGAAACATTTTATCTCTGGTTTTATATGATAACTATCGTGTGGGTTTTCCCTACAGAAGCAAACAAGAGAAGAATTGTTTCCTCTCTAAAGCCTGAGAGACTAGTAATAAAGCTAAGATAAAACTCAAAATGTAGTTAAAGAATTATTCTGGAAGGTGTAATTGTCCACGTATGAAAGGACTGTTACTTACCGACAAAGAAACCCCATTACCCTATTTTGCCAGCTACCCACCAACACTGCGCCAAACTGCTAGTTCCGTAGGGCAATCAAGGTAATGCCAAATGAAGGAACTATAAACTCAAAAGCCCCAAGTAGAATCCTAGTCCCCCAGAAAAACATCTTGATTCTGCTGTACAGTCAGGCCAAGCAAAGCCAGGAATAAGTAAGAATGAGCACACGATGAGTGATCCGTGCTGGACAGAAGATAAGTCAACAGAGCACCTACACAACAATTATTTAGCTCACTTGCCTGTGAGTTCATCGAATTCACGAATATGTATGACAAGCCAGGACCTGTGGTATAGACTGTAAGCTTACAAACGATGTCTAAAGTGTTAGATTTAACAATCACAGAAGACCAGCTGAGGAGAGGAAAACAACGGCTCCTCTGACAGACAAGCATAGAAATTACTACTGGTGATTCTCCCCAGAAGAAAAGTGCTCAACTTGGCCACTGTCATTGACTTGACAGAGTTAAATACCATACCTACATCACAAGCTCCCAGGTCCGAAAGTCTTAGTCTGACTGCTCCTTAGCCATTTGGCTAAGATCCAGCTTAAGTCTAAACCCCTCAGCCACACCAGGTATTTTGAAGGGGTCATTAAAGGTTTATATAGTCATTCAAGTATTTGAGGTCTTGAACCGACAGGAAGTAGTGTTGTCCCGGAGGATACAATGGTAAGTCTGCCATCTAGTGGAGACTTTGTGCCACTGGTTGTTCACTGACAACACTAAATTTCTGACTAAGCACAGTTAAAAGATAATTAGCAGGCACAGTGACTGTCTCTAAAAGCCTATCAGTAGTTAACACTGTGTGGGCAAAGCACTGTTTAAATGCTAGCCGGGAGACTCTCAAATGGAGAAGGGACATATGCCAGAATACCCAGAGTTTATAAAACCCATATATAGATCCCTGAGGTTCCCAGCAGACTATGCTGATTTAACAAACTAGAGAGGGAGTAAGTCCTTTGTACTTCTAAAATTAGGTACAACCTCCCCTTTCTGTAGCTCCAACTTTTCCACTTTTGAAAATATTCCCTCAAAGGAATAACTTGAGAGAATTAGACATAAGTCATGATAAAATCTTCATTACAAAACTTTAAATGTCTAGGTTATTTTCCTAGAGACTCAAAGACAAAGACCTATTGGAAGAGGTAAAACTGAGAAGTAAATGTAAGGACTGTTAATAGTGCCAGAGGCTACACATCTCACTCATCTGAACAATTCTGCAAGCTAGCAAACCTACCTCCCAAACAGCTTATCACCTGGGTGTGGTGGCATGCACCTATGTAATCCCAGCAGAGCCAGGAGGATTCCTGCAGCCTGTCTCAAACAAGCCACACAAACAGGGCTGGAGAGATGGCTCAGTGGTTAAAAGTACTTGCTGCTCTTCCAAGGGGCCAGAGCTCAGGTCTCAGGACCCATATCAGGTGGCTTACAATGGCTTGGACCTCCAGGTGTAAGGAGATCTGACACCCTCTTCTTAAACAAACAAAAAAATCCAAAGAGCAAATCAAGTAACTTGGTGAGCAGTACAAATGAAATAAACCTCCTCCTGCTGTCAGACCAGGGTGAATTTCTTTCCAAGATTCTGGTGTACTTTCAAGTTCAGAAATGCCACAGTGGGATCCCAACAGAGAACCAACTGACTTACCTGTCCCACACACATCAGGGAAATAACTCAAGAGCCCTACAACAATATTGCAAATTCTCAGGCGGGTGTTACTTTCTACCACCCTCACTGAAGGAAGCCGTGATGGTGAGCAGTACCCTGCAAACAGCACTAGTAAGAAAGCTGTGTGCGCTGAGGGTCAGGTAACTCCAGCCTTCTGCCTTGTCATTCTCGATCCATCCTCCCAAGTTCCAGCCTGTAGCACTTAAGACGGTATTGTTTTCTCTACAAGGACTAAGTTACATCAGGGCCAGGAGCACGTCCATTTCTTACACTGCTGTATCCTCGACACCTTGAGCATACAGCATTGAATAAATGAGTGCCTGAGCAACGCATCAATGACCCTGTAAGCTCTCTTCTCATCAGAAGGGAGAAATACAGCTTGTTTGGAGGACTCTTGGGAGAATTAACTAGGATGTTAAAAATACCGTGTTCACGACATAGCCTCCAACATCCCAGCTTGCCAAACCATTCGGAATAGGAGCAAATATGCTCTGGATCAATAATGGAAAACAGGCTCACATAGGGCGGGAGACCCAGACAAGAACCACAGAAAGAGGGCTGTGACGACTGAAAAACCAGGGAGGGGCAGTCGGGAGAGTGTAGGAAAGGGATGGAGAGAAGCTTCTCCAAGGCTTCAGGCTGCCAATCGAGGCCCAGGGACTGAGCATGTCGACAGGAGGGAGGAGAAAGGGCAGGCCCAGCGCTCGGGAAGAAGGGAGAGGTGGTAGCTCCGGGTCGCGGGGGAGGGAGAGGAGTCCGGGCCTGGCGTGACACGGGGAAGGGAAGGCGACTGGGCCCGGCACGCAGACAGGCAGGATGGTGGCCGGGGACCCCGCGTGTGTCGGCAGAAAGGAGGGCAGGACAGGCCACAGGCCGGGGCGAGGAGGGCCGAAGGGCAGGCGAAGGAAGCGCGCCCGCCCCGCCGGGCACACTCGTCCTTACCAGCTGGCAGCGCTTCTTCCGGTGGGCCGAGGGGACCTTGGACCGACCCAGACACCTAGCCACCAAAGGCTCGGGCTCCCGAACCCAGAGCTCTCGCGATAGTTTGGCCTCCCTACCACGCCTCTAGTTAGTGTTCTGACAGTTTCGCGAGATTTCCTTCCGCGCCTGCGCAAAGCCTCTTTAGGACTAGCGGAGAGTGCTAATTTTCCCTGTCCCAAATCTGGGTCCTTTTCATGCCTCTCGCACCAAATGCTCACACAAGGTAGATCTTATTTCGCTGTAATATTCATATGCAAGAATACATGTCAGTCTGGGCATTGGTGCTAATCCTAGAGCTATAACTTGTAACTTATTGTTGGGTTGATTTTTTTAAAAACATGTTTGGTTTTCCTTTTGTCTCCTTTAAATGTTTGTTTGATTTATAACATGCATTAATTTAATACAAACATAATTGGCAAATTTATTTATTTATTTGAGTTTTTCAAGACAGGGTTTCTTTGTGTTGCCCTCTAGAGATCAGGCTGGCATGAGATCCACCTGCCTCTGCCTCCCAGTGCTGGGATTATAGGCCACAACCACCCAGGCTACAATTGGTAAATTTAAATCATACAAATATTCAAATGTTGCTCAACTTTGGGGCCCACTCGAAGCACATTTACAATATCCAACTATCAACACGACAGAACTTTCCTTCATCGTTCTTTTCCACCACGGTATATTTGCACACCTCTTGATGGAATATTGTCTTACACTTCTCTTGGTCATAGCCCCTGGGTATAAGGATTCTGTCAATGAGACAAGATAAGACCTGTTAGAAGGGAAAAGACACTTACTCACCCAGCCCTGCTGCTCAGACATGCTCTGTGCAAGAAGCAGACCACACACACTCCAATTGCCTGGGGTTCCCCTCACCAACTTAAGGGCTTCTTTGGGCTGTTAATATCCCAAGTGTCGACTCCAGGCATCTGTACCTGTCTGTGCCATGGGGTCACAGAGACCATTCCTAATGTGGGTCCTGTATTTTACCCTGCATGCACTGAAGGACACCGGGATGTTCTGACAGACTCAGGAGCAGGTCTGGGTGACTCTGGAACAGCAAAGCTTTTACTAGCCTTGCTCTTCCCACCCTCCCTGTTCAGGGAGTGGTCCACAATAATTGTGCTGGACCATGGAAGGGGAAGGGTGGTCCCAGCCCTGTGTGGTGTCTGGTTAGAAGAGGAGCTCATCCCACCAACAGGAGCAGAGAGCCATCCCTGGCCAGGGTTGTGGGACCCAGGAAGAAGCCACGGAGCAAACCTTCCTGGGAAAACCCGGGGCACACACAATTTTTAGGAATCATTGCCCTCAATGCCCATCTAAAGGCTTGAGATTTAAATTGCCCTGCCAGAGCCAGACAAGGTGGCACACAGCACTTGGAGGTAGAGGCAGGAAGATCAGATTCAAGACCAGCCTCAGCTACACTGTGAGTTTGAGGCCAGTGTAGATTAGGGAGCCCTTGTCTCAGAAAACAAAGCTAAAGGCTGGAGAAATGTGTTCAGTGGTTAAAAGCACCTGCTGCTCTTCAGAGGATGGGAGTTCAGTTCTCAGCACCCATGGCTGTTGACCCACAAATGCCTATAACTCCAGTACCAGGGGAGTCAACACCTTCTGGCCTTCATGGTCTTGCATGTATGTGTATATACAGCCACACAGACATACATACATACACATATATATGTAAATAAATAATAAACCTTTTTTCTTTTCTTTTTTTGTTGTTTTCTTTGTTTATTTGTTTGAGACAGGATTTCTCTGTAACTGCCCTGGCTGCTCTGGAACTCCCTTTGTAGACCAGGCTTGCCTTGAACTCACAGAGACCCGCCTGCCTCTGCCTCCTGAATGCTGGGATTAAAGTCATGTGTCACCACCACCCAGCTAAAATAAATCTTTTTTAAAAACCAAGAACAAAACAAGCTGCCTGCCCTGAGTATATAAAAGAGGCCATTTCGGTGCCTTCTGTAACAATGTGTCAGTATTAAGAAGACCCGGAATTTTATCCTAAAGGAAAAAGACATTTCAGTCTTCTTCCCCTCGTTATTGAAACCATTCATTGATCTCAATTTTCTGGTCCACAGAACATCTGAATTTGCAGCCCTCAGTGGACCATGCAGGGAGAAGATGGCAGGATGTCTTCTCACAGTTGACCAGGGCACTGGGCACTCAACCAAAACCTTCATGGCCCAGAGTAAGTTTGAGGCCAGCCAGGGCTACTCAAGACCCTTTCTCAAAACAAAAACAAACAACAACAAAACCGTTGGCACAGTGGCACTGCCTGTAGTTCCAGTGTTGAGATCTAGTCTGCCCTGCTCTAAATTACTCCATATTATGAAACACAGGAGCTTTCAGGCCATGCCTTGCTGTGGAGGAACCTGCTTTTAAGCTGCATTTCATTTAGTTTGTGTTCAGAGGAGGAGGCAGGATGACTTTGCACTTGTCCTGCATGTAAACAGCACCATCCACCCAGCACCGCCCACAAGACTCACTGCTGAACAACTTAGAATTCAAAAAGAATTGTGTCCCAGGCAGGGGCCCACATAAATGTGGGGAGAACTGACTCCAGAATGTTGTCCTCTGACCTCCTCAAGCACCACTCCCACTGAATCACAGACACATGTTTACACTAATGTGTTGTTAAAGGGGGAGGGCTGAAAGAGGGGAACTCCAGACTCTCCCTGGGCTTCAGTTTGTCTCAGTTCCTGCTGCCAAGCAGCGGACAGCTCGTCCACCTGTTGGTCCTTCTGGACTCATTAGTTAGCCTGTGTGGCTTCAGTAGTCCACCTCCTCACTGGGCAGCTCAACTCGACCCTGAGGCCCCCTCTAGGTGCACCTCCAACAGATTCTCTTTGCATCTCTATCATATTTATCATATCTGCCTGCCTCCAGCCCCTTTTCAGCCCTTCCAACTCTGCTGTGCTCTGTCAGCTTTCTATAGCCATTTTGTAACGTACATACATGCATACGTACATACATACACTTACTGTGTGATGTGTAAAGCATGATCTGAGAGTTAATGGTAGTAGTTAAAGTTGTTATAAAGAAAAATCTGTTTGTCAGTGACTAGGTATCATGGGAAATTGGGACTGCTTGGCAAACTGTAGCCCCTAAACCAAACACACACACACACACACACACACACACACACACACACACGCACGCACGCACGTAAATAAATCTATATTTCTGTTAAAAAGAAATTGATGTAGCTTATGAATTTGCTGTTATTCAATAAACTCTAGCCTTGTGGATAGATGCGAACATATCTGTCTATGCTTCTCACACAGTGCTCACATCACACTCAGCTTACACAGGAGACTGAGGTAGCAGGATCTCTTGAGCCCTGGAGTTTGACAGCAGGATAACTTAAGGAGACTTTGACCAAACATAAGACAAAACAAGGCAGAGACTCTGAAGAGTGGTTATTTGGGACCCTCCAGAATCAGTGGTTGAGACTTACTGGGAGCAGCAATTAATTCCATCTTTTTCACAGAAACACTTCGTACAGTTGGTTATCCATTCAGTGCCCACACGGTGTTTGCTACCATCAGAATCCAGGCATCCTAAAATGATGCAAATCCCCAGGTCACACCACAGGAACAAAGCTTGTAGGGACACTGAGCCAGCCACTGGCACATGATGATGGACAATTGTAGCACTGTCAGAGACAGTGCTTTTGAGTCAAGATGGCCAAAACCCAGCACACTAAAGCACCTGCCTCGGAGAGTGTCTTTGTTTTTGTTTGTTTTTATAGACAAGGTGTTTCTATGCAGCCTTGGCTAGCCTGGAAATCACTGTGTAGAGCAGGTTGTCCTCCAACTCAACTGTCTCTGCTGGGGTTTAAAGGCCTAAAAAAAACATACCATTATGTTTTTTTTAAGTGAGCTTAAATCCTTTCTAGATTGTATTTCAGAACAGGCATTGAAGAATAAATAAGTCCTTCCTTTTTTTTTTTAAGATTTATTTATTTATTATGTATACAGAAGAAGGTGCCAGCTCTCATTACAGATGGTTGTAAGCCACCATGTGGTTGCTGGGAATTGAACTCAGGACCTCTGGAAGAGCAGTCAGTGCTCTTAACCTCTGAGCCATCTCTCCAGCCCCAAGTCCTTCCTTTTTAATCCAGTAGCTATTAGGAGTGACTGGCAAAGGGGGCCCAGTGAGTTCTCTCTGGTTGTCCTGAATAAAATGCTCACTTCTCTACTAGCATTGGTTGTATCACTAATTCTCAGGCCAGGGTGCACATGTGAAGCACTGTGGGTACTTAAAAATCACCCACAGACTGCGGTGTAGCCCAATGGTAGAACAAGTATTGAAAATGTACAGAGCCCTGGGTTTAATTCCCAGCAGCAAATAAGCAAGCAAGCCCTCTGTTCCTGATCCTCATCCAAGAAAACAAAATCGGAATCTGTGGGTGGAACCCAGACTTTATTGTTTACTTCATTTTTATTTTTATTTGTTTTGTTTTGTTTTGGGGGTGGGGTGGGCACATCATGTATTCTAGGCTGGCACTGAACTTCCTATGTACCCAAGAATTGTATTGAACTTTAAAAAAATTATGTTTATTTTATGGATATGAATTTTTCTCCTGCAGGTATGTAAGAGTAGTGCACTCACATGTATGTAAGGCTACTACATCATATCTTCAGAGAGCAGAGGAGGGCACTAGATGCCCTGGAACTGGAATTACCAACAGTTGTAAGCTGCCATGTGGGTGCTGAGCCAGTGTTCTTAACCCCTGAGCCATCTCTCCAGTCCCATCATATATGGTTTTAATTGTCAACTTGACACAGCCTAATGTCATCCAAGGAATATTTTTTTAAGTTCTTACTTGAGTTTTTCCTCCTGACTTCTCTCAACAATGGACTGTGGTCTAGAAGTGAAAGGCAAATAAATCCTTTCCTCCCCTAAATTTCTTTTGATTGTTGTGTTTCATCACAGCAACAAAATGAAACTAGTACAGTATTAAAGTACTAGTTGCTGGAGATTCTCCAGCAAAATTCACACCACAAGCCTGCGTGCACACACCCACCCACCCATGCATGCAGGCCTGCACTACATTTAAACAAGATTGCAGGGATGATCATGTACATTAAAATTTGAATGCTGCTTCTTAACCTTGACTACATGTGAAAATCAAAGAGCTTTTAATAGGTAACTCCAGCCCCAGAGGTTCTCATTCAGCTGTTCTTAAATGGGGCCTGATTGTGGCGTTTCAGAGCTCATCTAGCTAAATTGAGAACAACCTCCTTACTCTGTTTCTGTATCTTCACAAATCCTTCTTCCAGTGTATATATATCCCAAGGCTTCCCCATCTGCCATATATACTAGGTCATATCTACAGGTTGTATCTACCAGGATGGAATGGCATTAAAAATACTGGAAAACCCAGGACTTACCATCAGGCGGTTGGTTTGGAAGAGCCTTATGTGCTTGAAAAGTGCAGCTTGCATTGCATGCTGTCACCAAGATAGCAAGGAACAGGAGGCTGCCCAGCAGAGCTTTCTGTAATACAGGGAAAGGTTGGGAGTGGAGAATGAGTGATTCTTGAAGGTCATGCTTGACTGAGTGTCCTATAAGATCCCCGCTGAAATCTGGCAGGAAGGGTCGAGTGTGGAGCAACTGCCAGGTCCCCTAGCCTGGCAGTCAGGGGCTAAGACATAAGACCATCAGGAAAAAGAAAAGTCTGTTGGGGGTGGTGGCGCACGCCCTTTATCCCAGCACTCCGGAGGCAGAGGCAGGCGGATCTGAGTTTCAGCCTGGTCTACAGAGGGAGTTCCAGGAGAGCCAGGACTGACTACGGTCCCAACCTTTCCCTGCATACAGAAACCCTATGCCAAAAACCAGCCCTCCTCCCCGCAAAAAAGCAAGTTCACTGTGAGAGTGACTGGCTGTGGGCTGGGAGTGGGACGGAGGATGCTGGGAGCCTCATCACTGGCTGAGGCAGGGTCTTCCTGCAGCAGCAGCTCTCCCACGCTGTCCTGGCTTGTTCTCAGAGGCCTGGGGGCTCTTGTACCAGGGCTCATCGTCCTCGTGCCCTTTGAACGAGAAGAGCCATTTCCACCTCCGTAGTTTCTCCCATGTGCCCTCTGCCCTGGTTCTTCCTTTTCCTATAGTTCTCATATAGTCTTGGGAGAGTGGTTGCTCAAAGTTTGATGGGAAGACATATTCTGTATTAAGCTAATTTAAATGTTTCCTTAAAGGACCTAAAATTAAGTTTTATAATAATAATATTATAAAGTTAGTACAGAAAATATAGAAATCATATCATTTTAAGGATAAAAGAGATTTTAGTGTTTCCATGACTAAATAAGTGAAGCTAAGATGGTATCAAACTTTGGAAAATAATGTATGAAATAATTTCACTATAACAATGAGGAACATAAAGTCACACTATAAAAGTAGCAAGGGCAATAAAGAGACATCACACACACACACACACACACACACACACACACACACACGGGAAGAGGGTGGAAGGAGGGGGTCTGAGTACAGATAGAGAGGACACCACCCACCACTGTTCTGCCCCTCCAGCTCTGTCTGAGGAGGGTTTCATAGTGTACATTTGTCCTGAGGTGAGGCGAGGGTCCCTTCCTGAGGCCCTCTCCACCCTCATGTGGCTCTCCTCCTCAGCTTCTGCTTCCTTCCTCTTGTCCTTCTGTGGGGAGCCCCATTCATTCCTGATTCTGCCTCACAGAACAGACACTTTCAGAAAAAGAACCATTTTCAGCTGAAGACTGAAAGAAGTCCTATGTATGAAATCAGTCACCCACCATTGTGGCAAGCAGGACTCCTTACAGGCAGGCACCTCCAGTAGAGCCTCAGCAAGAGGGAGTGCTGACTTCCTATTTATGCAGGTAGAACGACCACATGTAGATCTTGGAAAGATTTTGTTCCAGGAACACAGTGAGTATTTGCAGAGGGCTGAGCAGGAAGTTAAGATTTCTATCAATTTGAGTTTTCCATCTATTAAGTCTCTACCCCAGTGTGCTCACCTTCCCTCACCCTTGACAAGATGTTGCCCTTGGTGTGGTGAGCAGAGAGGGAAAGAACTTTCCTTAGAAGCCTTCATCCTGCACTGGAAGACGCTAGGCACCCTCCATGATCTTTTCTGGTTCATGGACAAAGAAATGAGGGCTCGGGAATACGACTCATAACAGCCAGTGCTGAGGCTGTGTTTGGGAAGGCATAAGGTTAGCCCAGTAGGTCAGCCTGGCTGACTAGGGAGCTGAGACACAGGAGGTTGTGGCCTTAGGGTCCAGTGTGGGAACGCACAAGTGCATGAGCCATCTTCCACAGTATGGATGGGTTGCACCCTCCAGCCTAGGTTTCTTTTGACAAGCCACATGTTCAAATCTCTCAGACTACCCAACATTCTCTAAATGTTTAGTCTTTTTTCTGCTTCCTCAAGCGAGCCTTCCTTCTCATTGTGCAATAGTGATCTCCTGTATGGAAGCAGTGTGTAGTTCCCGAGAACAGTGGAAACTTGAAGTACCTTATCGTCCAGCAATCCCACTCGGTGAACCGTCTGCTCTCCCAGCTTTACTGTAGCACTGTTCCCAGTTGCCAGGTGATGAAGAGCCCCTGTCCAGAGCTGATGAATACGAAAGGAAATCTGCAGCCAGCAGCTTTGGGGCTGGGATGCAACTCAGTTTGCAGAGTGTTTGTCTAGTGTGTGTGACACCCTCAGTTTGACCTCCAACACTGCATATAACCAGAAATGGTGTAAGGCTAAGAGATATCTCTGTCAGTTAAGTGCTTGACTACAGCCATAAGGACCCAACATGAAAAGACTATTCATAGTGAGATAGGCTTGTACATCCAGAACCAGTGGTGCTGAAACAGGAGGATTCCTGGGCTTAAGGGCCAGCGAGTCTAGGCAAGTCCTGGTGAGTCCTGGACTAGTGACAGGTCCTGTCTTGAAAATTAGTGTGGATGGTATCTGAGGAATAAGTGAGGCTGTTCTGCCCTCCTCTTACACAGCAGTTTCTTCAAAATTGAAACATTTCCATAAGGAAGGAGATGGAGGTTCATGAGACTCAGAAAGTAAATGAACTTCAGTCTGCCCAGGAAGCTGAAACCATGGCAAGACTCACCAGGGCCTCTCCTCAGAATTATAGACGCAGTTAACAACTGTTAGTGGAGCCTGTCATGTGTCCCCTGTTGATCTGCCTGGAAGTTCTGTAAAGAGCTTCAGGGTTGCAGATGGAGATGCATCCCTGCTTGCATAGGCTTTCTGCTAATACAGCTGCCTTTGAGTCATTCCTGCTTCTCTATGTAACCCCGCACCCATTCTCATGTCACTAGCTCACTAAACTCTAGGCTTTTCCATGGTTGTCTGTGGTGAAATTGTTAATTTGGTTTGCCCTTGACTCCCTATGTGGGGTGAATAGTTGTGTGTTCATATCTCCCCAGGAATAGTGTCACACAACATCTCCACGTGCATGCATATGCCTCCTCCCAAAACACACACCATAGGCATGGTGGTACACATTTGTGATCCCAGCACTGAAGAGGTGAAGGCAGGAAGATCAATCATTTCAGCAAGGTAAACCTATTAAAGCTTCTCATGGTTCCCCATTAGCATGTATCATTTTATGATTTTATACATCAGGCAAAAATCTGATTTAACTGTTGTAAGATGAAGCATAAATGAAGATCATTCAGGGGAAAAATAACCCAAAATCTGAAGGCACTAACCTTACTTCTCCCATATATCTTACTCTGTGTTAACCATGCCATTGGTTAGGGCTACCATAGCATGGGCCATAGACTGGAGATGCACAAACAGCCAAAAAGGATTGTTCAGATTGAGAAGCTGGACATTCAAGATCAGAGTGCCATGTGGTCAGGTTCTAGTGAGGGCCCTTTCCTAGGTGGCATGGGGCTGTGTCTTTGGCAGTATCCTCAGATGGCAGAGTACAATGACTCCACACCAGTGACCATACTTCCTCCTGGAATTTTCTCTCCCTGTAGCCTTACACAGGGAATTTAGATTTCAACCTGTGATTTGGAGGTAACAACACATGAACATTCTGTATGTTGTACAACAGCCTCTTCCTTTAGAAGATGCCACCTTCACAGAGGCATGAATGCAGAATGACTGCAGGCCAAGTTCACATAGAGGCTGAGATAGACATGGGTTCACATCCAAATCCTTCCTTGAATAGCTGTGTGAACCTGGAAAGTCTCTCAAAATCTCTGACTCTTTGTTTACCTGTTTATGAAACAAGACAATGATTCCCCACTTCCAAGGACTGACATGAAAAACAAGGAGGAATGTGTCTAACATTCAGCTCAGTGTCTGGTAAATGGTTATAAGGAAGGCACATTTTTATTATTTCTATCTTACAATTTTTATCTGGGACCAATAATGAAAGAGACACAAGATAGATGGCAGAAGTAAATTACACATATATTTACTAAAATAAGTTTTACATGGTGTGGCATCACACGTAAGAGTCAAGGAAGCGAGGTTCACATATACACTGACTTAAAGAGTACAATCTTTGAAAACGTGTCAAGGCTGAGGGGTGGGAGGGCTAATTCTGTGGAGAAGCAGTGAGGATCACAAGTGTTAGCTTAACAAGTTTATTTATATATATTTCTCTCTGCTTCAGATTTCCATCCTCATTGGTAAGATGGTTAATACTTTCCAGTGTAGAGGACATATTGTATATAGGATGCCTTAGTTACTTTTCTCTTGCTGTGCTAAGACACCATGACCAAGGCAGCTTGTAGCAGAAAGAGTTTTATAAGACGCTTACAGCTTCAGAGGATGAGTCCATAACCATCACGGCAGGGAGCATGGCAATAGGGAGGAAGGCATGGTGCTGGAGCAGCAGCTAAGAGCATACTTCTTGTTCCACAGGCACAAGGGAGAGAGGGAGCAAACTAGGAATGGCATGGACTTTAGAAACCCCAAGCCATTTAGAAACCCCAAACCACCAATGGCATACATCCTCACAAAAGGCCACACCTCCTGGTCCTTCCCAAACATTTCTACCAACTGGGGACCAAGTATTCAAACATACAAGCCTGTGGGGGTCATTCTCATTCAAACCCCTGCAGTCATGGTGCTTTGTCACAGCAGTAGAAAAGTAACTTAAGACAGAGGGTTTTAAAAGAAGGAGTATGAGTGCCCTCCACTTTTTGGGTGGTGCCATGGAACAAAGATAGAGCCTCCCTCATACATGCTAGGCAAGTCTTATACCACTTGCCCCAAATATAACTTGCTGTTTTAAAATTTTATTTCTGTTCAAAATAGTCCTCAAATGGCATATTGCTATAATTTGGATTTTAAATGTCCCACAAAGACCCACTTGTTGAAAACCTGGTCCCCAGCCCATGATACTATTCAGAAGTGGTTGCTCCTAGTGAAAGGAATTAAAGTCATTAAGAGCTTGCCTTTTAAGGTGACCTTCAAAGGGACCCCCTCTTCTCTGTCCATCTCTTCTCCACTGATCCCCCCCAGCCTACATGAGGTGAAGCAGTTTGCTCCACAGTGTGTTTCCCCCCACCATAATGTTTAGCCTCACAGCAAGCTCAAAAGCACCAAAGCCAAGAGCTCATGAACTGAAATCTCTGAAACCATGGCTCAAAGCAAGCCCTTCTTTCTTATGTGCCAGTTACCTCAGGCATTTTGACACAGTGATGGAAAGCTAACTCTCATATGTGTTCTGGAGTTATGGATGGTTGGGACATCATCATATTTTATAAGGACTGATACCATCAAGACACAGGAGCTGGCTGCCTTTGTCCTTCCCAGAACTGGATAGCCAAAGCCTCTTCTAGAAGACCATGGGAAAGGCTAGTAGTAGCCTGCTCACTTCTGTCTTGTGATGTGCCATCTGTCTTCACTCAAATATAAAGTCACCTATCACTGGTATCACACTTCCCATCAGTGAGGCTGGTACAGGATTTTGAGAAGGGAATAAGTGTGAGCAGTGGCTTTTCACAGGTGGTTGAGCTCATTTACAAGGGACAGAGTTGTTCCTTGGTATTCTTGGGAAATTGGCTCCAT